GACATTGAAACAGTTGATAAACTCGATTTAAAGAGAGGCAACTATGGGGAACTTCGAAATTTTTTTAATGAGTGTAATTGGACAGAATTGTTGCTAGGCAGGGAAGTAAATGAAATGTATGCCAAATTTTTAAAACTATACGAGGAAGGCACACAAACATTCATACCAAAACAGAGATGCAGGACCAGAAAACAGGATTGGTTCGACAGAAATTGTGAGAGGGCAAGAGACCAAAAGACACAAAAATGGAATCAGTATAGGAAGAGGCCAAACCCCCAAACATACCAGCGATACAAAGATGCGAGAAACAATTATACAGCAGTAAGGAGAGAGGCAGAAAGAAATTTTGAAAAAGGGATAGCAGATAAATGTAAAACAGAACCGGGCCTATTCTACAAATTCATAAACAACAAATTGCAGGTAAAGGATAATATCCAGAGGTTGAAAATGGGAAACAGATTCACGGAAAATGAAAAGGAAATGTGTGAAACATTAAATGAAAAGTTCCAAAGTGTGTTTGTACAAAATGAAATCTTCAGAGAACCAGACACAATAAGAATTCCAGAGAACAACATAGAGCGGATAGAGGTGTCTAGAGATGAAGTGGAAAATATGCTAAAGGAGCTCGGGAGGAACAAAGCAGCTGGCCCAGATGGCGTTTCACCATGGGTTCTGAGAGAATGTGCATCTGAGCTCAGCATTCCACTTCACCTGATCTTTCAGGCATCCCTGTGTACAGGAATCGTAGCAGACGTGTGGAAACAGGCTAACATAGTTCCAATCTACAAAAGTGGCAGCAGGGAAGACCCCCTCAATTATAGACCTGTATCATTGACAAGTGTAATAGTGAAAGTATTGGAAAAGGTAATCAAAACTAAATGGGTAGAACACCTGGAGAGAAATGATATAATATCAGACAGACAGTATGGTTTTCGATCAGGAAGATCCTGTGTATCGAATTTACTCAGTTTCTATGATCGGGCCACAGAGATATTACAGGAAAGAGATGGCTGGGTTGACTGCATCTATCTGGACCTAAAAAAGGCTTTCGACAGAGTTCCACATAAGAGGTTGTTCTGGAAACTGGAAAATATTGGAGGGGTGACAGGTAAGCTTCTATCATGGATGAAAAATTTTCTGACTGATAGAAAAATGAGGGCAGTAATCAGAGGCAATGTATCGGAATGGAGAAATGTCACAAGTGGAGTACCACAGGGTTCAGTTCTTGCACCAGTGATGTTTATTGTGTACATAAATGATCTACCAGTTGGTATACAGAATTATATGAACATGTTTGCTGATGATGCTAAGATAATAGGAAGGATAAGAAATTTAGATGATTGTCATGCCCTTCAAGAAGACCTGGACAAAATAAGTATATGGAGCACCACTTGGCAAATGGAATTTAATGTTAATAAATGTCATGTTATGGAATGTGGAATAGGAGAACATAGACCCCACACAACCTATATATTATGTGAGAAATCTTTAAAGAATTCTGATAAAGAAAGAGATCTAGGAGTGGTTCTAGATAGAAAACTATCACCTGAGGACCACATTAAGAATATTGTGCAAGGAGCCTATGCAATGCTTTCTAACTTCAGAATTGCATTTAAATACATGGATGGTGATATACTAAAGAAATTGTTCATGACTTTTGTTAGGCCAAAGCTAGAATATGCAGCTGTTGTGTGGTGCCCATATCTTAAGAAGCACATCAACAAACTGGAAAAGGTGCAGACATGCTACTAAGTGGCTCCCAGAACTGAAGGGCAAGAGCTACGAGGAGAGGTTAGAAGCATTAAATATGCCAAAACTAGAAGACAGAAGAAAAAGAGGTGATATGATCACTACGTACAAAATAGTAACAGGAATTGATAAAATCGACAGGGAAGACTTCCTGAGACCTGGAACTTCAAGAACAAGAGGCCATAGATTTAAACTAGCTAAACACAGATGCCGAAGAAATATAAGAAAATTCACCTTCGCAAATAGAGTGGTAGACGGTTGGAACAAGTTAAGTGAGAAGGTGGTGGAGGCCAAGACCGTCAGTAGTTTCAAAGCGTTATATGACAAAGAGTGCTGGGAAGACGGGACACCACGAGCGTAGCTCTCATCCTGTAACTACACTTAGGTAATTACACTTAGGTAATTACACACACACAGACAGAGACAGACACACACAGAACAAGAAGAGAGAGGAGACAGAACAAAATTAAGGCAGGGGAGAGAAGACAGAACAGAAACAACAGAGGGGAGAGAGAAATGAGTGAAGATTGAAGAGAAGGGGAAGAGAAAAACAAGAGAAGAATAATATACAAGCTAAAAATGAAATAAGTGAATACCTCAAATGTAAAAAGTAAAGGAAGAGAGAAGGTAGAAGAGACAGGAAAGGAGAGGTGTTAGAAGAGAGGAGGAAAGGAGAGATATAAGAAGAGACAAGAAAAATAGGAGAGAAACGTAACAGAAGAAATTAAAAAAAAAAAAGGACATTTGTGAGAGGAAATCTTGAGATGATTTCGGGGCTTTAGTGTCCCCGCGGCCCGGTCCTCGACCAGGCCTCCATCCCCAGGAAGCAGCCCGTGACAGCTAACACCCAGGTACCTATTTTACTGCTAAATAATAGGGGCATAGGGTCAAAAACTCTGCCCATTGTTTCTCACCAACGCCCAGGATCGAACCCCGGACCACAGGATCATCTGATCATTTTTCTGGTTGATGCAATACTTGCTTGGTTATGCTCCCTAAACGTTAGGTCGTCAGACGTACATCATTATTCCCAAATCCTTTACATGCTGTTTTCCTCTTATGGGCACATTTGATTGTTTTTGTACCCTGTATTATGTTTAAGGTCCTCATTTTTACCTTACCTGAGTACCTGGAATTTATCTCTGTTAAACATCATGTTATTTTCTGTTGTCCAGTCGAAAACTTTATTAATATCAGCTTGAAGTTTTTCAATGTCTTCAGCCGAGGTAATTTTCATACTGATTTTTGTGTCATCGGCAAAGGATGATACGAAGCTGTGACTTGTATTTTTGTCTATATCTGATAAGAGAATATGGAAAAGCAGCGGTGCAAGGACTATACCTTGAGGTACAGAGCTTTTAACTGCACTTGGACTCGATTTTATGTGGTTGACTGTTACTCGCTGAGTCCTGTTTGACAGAAAACTGAGTATCCAGCATCCTACTTTACTGGTTATTCCCATTGACTTCATTTTGTGTGCTATCACTCCATGGTCACATTTATCGAAAGCCTTACGAAGTCCGTGTATATCACATCAGCATTCTGTTTTTCTTCTAATGCCTCAGTGACTTTGTCGTAGTGATCAAGTAGCTGTGAGAGGCACGATCTTCCCGCTCGAAATCCATGTTGACCTGGTTGTGAAGGTCATTGGTCTCCATGAAATTGGTGACCTGACTCCTAATCACTCTCTCAAATACTTTTATTATGTGCGACATTAGTGCAAGTGGTCTCTAATTCTTTGCCAATGCTTTGCTCCCTCCCTTGTGCAGAGAGGCTATGTGTGCTACTTTAAGTGCATCTGGTATCTACCCCGTGTTCAAGCTCTTCCTCCACACTGTACTGAGTGCCTGTGCTACCGGTACTTTGCATTTCTTTATAAATATTGAATTCCATGAATCTGGACCCAGGGCCAAGTGCATGGGCATGTTTTCAATTTCTCTTTCAAAGTCTTGTACGCTCATGTTGATATCAGTTATATTTACAGGGGTTTGGATATCCCACATAAAGAAATTGCCTGGATCTTCCACTTTCATGTTGTTTATTGGAGTGTTAAATAAGTCCTCATACTGCTTTTTTAGGATTTCATTAATTTTTTTGTCATCCTCCTTGTATGAACCTTCACTTGTACGAATAGGTCCAATACTTGCAGTTGTTTTTGCTTTTGATTTTGCATATGTGAAGAATTATTTTGGATTTTTCTTTATTTCCTGATTTGCTTTCTGTTCTAACTGCCTTTCTTCAGTGTGATATGAGTGTTTCCATTTCCGCTCGATTTCTTCAATCTCCCTATTTAAATTCTATTTAAATTATTCCTTCTTTGATGGGAAAGTCGTGTCTGCTTAAGCATTTCAGTTATTTTTTTCCTTCTTTTATAGAGTCGTCTGCGTTCCCTTTCTACATTGGATCTCTTTCTGGCTTTCCTCAAAGGAACATGTTTCAGACAAAGTTAATCTCCCAAATTAGAAACATATTATATGAAGAAAGATTAATAAAGCTTAAATTGTATTTACTGGAAAGGCGAGGAGTTAGGGGTGACATGATAAAGGCTTACAAGTGGATGAATGAATATAACAAAAGGGGATATTAATAGGGTATTACATGTATCAACACAGGACAGAACACGAAACAATGGGTAAAAAATTGGAGAAGTGTAAATTTAGGAAAGACCTGGGTAAATATTGGTTCGGTAACAGGGTTGTTGATTTGTGGAACCAATTACTGAGTAATGTAGTGGAGGTGGGATCCCTTGATTGTTTCAAACATGGGCTGGACTTGTATATTGAGTGGGATTGGGTGGTTATAAATAGGAGCTGCCTTGTATGGGCCAATAGGCCCTATTCAGTTATCTTTATTCTTATGTTCTATGGTAGCAGCCAGTCCTCCTGTTGACCTAGGCACCATGGTAGCAGCCAGTCCTCCTGTTGACCTAGGCGCCATGGTAGCAGCCAGTCCTCCTGTTGACCTAGGCGCCATGGTAGCAGCCAGTCCTCCTGTTGACCTAGGCGCCATGGTAGCAGCCAGTCCTCCTGTTGACCTAGGCGCCATGGTAGCAGCCAGTCCCCATTGAGGGGACATTGCAATAATATAGTGATGGCCAGGGACATAGTTGTTAATCTGTGGAAAACTATTGCTCATTCTATTTTCCTCATTTTCGTTCCTCAATTTAATTTTCAACATTGAAATTAAAATCCATAAATCCATAACTTATGATTTAAACCATAATAGGAAATGAGTCACACAATATCACTATATACTGTATGTGAATCTTTTATTTATAAATACAAATTCATCAAACTAGTGATTATATAGCTATGTAATATTAAGATAATAATAATAATTAATATTATTAATAAAACAGGAAACAAACCTCAGCTAAGTATTTGCTATAGAACTTGATATATGATACAGGAATTATTTCATGACTTTAGTACACACACACACACACACACACAAGCATTAAGGTTGAGGAGTAAGTATTAATTATTTATATTCTAAATATCATGTCTAGCCTGTATTCAAGGCATCTTTAACTTAATAATAACAAGTCAGCATGAAGTTACATTGCTAGAACAACAGGAAATGCAGATACATTAAGCTGTACATATAACGTCCACCATGTCATGTTGCTCATCGTGGTATGTTTAGTGTGGTGGCATACTAATAAAGAAAGAGTTCACAGCTCATGAAAGCTCACCTAGAAGCTCACAGAATGCACTTGCTCCATGGCCAAACAGTTGGGTTAAACACACATGATATAAAGAAACTAAGTTACAAAGTAATGTTTAGTGCAGATAGATAGCTAACAAATTAACAAATTATTAACAAAATAATTATTTTCCTTGTATAACATAAAAAGCTTTTCATAGATAGACATGACTACAATGGCATTGCCCCTTCAGGACATCAGCTGTGAGAGCTTACCTCCCACAACACTACATCAGGACATGAGCTGAGAGAGCTTACCTCCCACAACACTACATCAGGACATGAGCTGTGAGAGCTTACCTCCCACAACACTACATCAGGACATCAGCTGAGAGAGCTTACCTCCCACAACACTACATCAGGACATGAGCTGAGAGAGCTTACCTCCCACAACACTACATCAGGACATGAGCTGAGAGAGCTTACCTCCCACAACACTACATCAGGACATGAGCTGAGAGAGCTTACCTCCCACAACACTACATCAGGACATGAGCTGAGAGAGCTTACCTCCCACAACACTACATCAGGACATGAGCTGAGAGAGCTTACCTCCCACAACACAACAACATTAGGTCTGGATTAGTATCAAGTATTGTAAACAAAACACTGAGATTATAATGCTGAAATAGCCATGGCATTTAACAGCACCTTGTTAAATTTTAAATTTTGACTGATATTTCTATGCTGAAAAGCCACAAAATTTTTCTTTTTCTCTGAAAAGGGAATCTATAGTAATGTAAGCTAATCTTCTAAAAAATATTATTTGCCACTATACTGTATAAGTTTTATTAGTTTGCTAGTGAAAGGCAAGGATTGAAATGAAGCAACAAACTAAATTCATGATCAGCAATTGCTAATTTGGGGTTTATTTTGGCAACAAACATTTGCCAGGTTCCTGAAGTGAATGAGTGTCTTGAGTCAACTATGGATGCTGGAAGTTTTTTCTTAAATTTTGTATTAGGTTACTTCAAGTTCTCTGCATGACATCACCAGAGTGCAAACCATATACAAACTATAGCAATTTTTAACACGGCAGTTTGCACTGTCTAATTTTCTAATAGCAGGCACTTTGTTCTTAACATTGCGTATGGTATTTTTCAAGCCTAATTATCCAACCGGAACTTAAATTATCAAGGGAATAAAAATATAGCATTGAATATTTCACCTCCGGCCGCATGAGCAGGCCGGAGGTGAAACAACGCACGAGACAGCTTACTACTGGTAACACTTACTACTGATAAAGCACCAAGTATCTTCCGAAGCTAAGTGATGGTTAAGGGAGATGCACCACAACCACATTCTGGCACTCTCCATGAGGCAAGGAGAGTTCAGGGATCAGAAACCAACACCAAAAATGAGGAAAAAACCCAGCGTTGAATGTAATGAAACGCCATTTTCTGGGCGAGTCCCGAAGGCTCCCTGGAGTGGATATGTATAACTTTCTGGGATCAGTCAATGCATGGAGTTCTTGCCTACCGGGGACCAAGAGCAAGAACCTGGCCCCCCTCTAGAGAGGCACGAGGAGCAATGGCCTATAGAGACTCCCCTTTATTATTGGGAGCATGCTATGTCTGCCATCGACCAGGATAGACACCCAGAAAGGTAGGTGCTCCAAAGCAAACCCCTATAATGGTAAAACAATTGCGACCGAAGACCGAACAAGTGGACGGAACTCCCCAAACGAAAACTAGCAACGAGCATGACGTCATCACGTTGCCGCGCCGCTGTCTGTGCAACCCCCTCGGCTTCCCGGGAGGGGGAAGGGGCAGCCCCAGACTTAACCGCCAGCAACCCACCCCACAGTTCTTAGGCTGGGTATCAAAAATGCGAAAAACACTGCTTACCAGAGGGAGGGAGGGAAATCGGGGAGCCTCCGGGACTCACCCAGAAAATGGCGTTTCATTACATTCAACGCTGGTTTTCTGGGGAAGCCTCATCGGCTCTCCGGAGCTAACTACCCAAAGATAAGGAAAAACAGGGACTTACCCGGGAGGCGATCCGTCCTCACTCCTCGACGCGAGGTCGAGACAACTGGCTGCAACCGCCGATCCAATGCAACGCAGGCCCGCCTAGGCCCAGGAACATTCAACAGGTAGCGAGAGGCCAGGACCCTGTTCGACCTCCAAAAACCCCGGGCCCGAATGTCCACCCACGACATGTTGCCAAAGACGGCAGCCAAGGCAGCAAACTTACGAACGTTGTGGGCCCGGGGAATAGACCGCAGGCTGGCTAGATTTAATAACCCTGCGGACAACCTGAGAGACCCGAGCCTGAGAACAGGGAAGAAGGGAAACCGGGTCCACCCAGAGCGCATCCCCGGCAACCGAAGCCGTTGCACGCAAATAACAGTGGAGAGTCGCAACCGGACACAATACATGATGCACCCCCGGCCTGACCAACCAAGCATCAACAACCAAAGGACCCCTCCGGAAGGCAGCCGTCTCATTCTTCGCCAGAAAAGAGGGAGACGGCTGCAAGCGAACAAAACGACCAACTGGGACCCAAGGAGCAGAAACTCCTGCGCCAGAGGAGAGCATGAAAGTCCTCAACCCGACCCCCAGAGACCAATGCCAAAGGGAAAAGCACCTTAAAAAAAAATCCCGAATGGAAGGGGCCATAACAAACCAAGGAGAAGAGAGAAACGAGAGCAAGCAGTCCAAGGACCAGAACGGCTCAAGCGACGCATGAGCAGGGCGGAAGTGAAACAACGCATGAAACAGCTTGCGAAATGGGGCAGAAGTAACATCAACACTGAAAGCTGAAGTGGCTCTGCCAATGCTGCATGATACGAGGCGACAGTATTAGGCACAAGATGACGGTCCTGAAACAACCAAGAAAGAAAGGACAGAACAACCCTATCAGAGACTGAAGAATACCTATGCAGTGATAGGAAAAACCGGAAGGACCACCAGGAAACTTTATACTGCTGCTGAGACAAAGCACGCAGGTGGGAGACCAACAACGAAGCCACTTGTGCACTATACAAGTGATGATAAACCTGAGTCAAAAACACCAGACGTGAAGACTTGAGGAGAAGACGGAACCAGCCTCATGCCGGTCTGGACCGATCTGCTGAAAGAGGCGGAGCCACGGGAAGACCCTTGGGTTCGGACACCGAGCAAGCAGCGCCTGAAACCAAGGCTGGGCCGACCACCATGGAGCCAGAAGGACAACCTGACCCTGGTAAGTCTCCAAGGGAGCCAGGACCTGGAGCAACAGCTGAACCGGGGGGAAAGAGGAAGAGGTAATGCCACCTCGCCCAGTCCTGCCTGAAGGCGTCGACCCCAACAGCCTCGCAGTCGGGGGAAGGGCGCCATATGTATACTGGGAAACGTCTTGACCACGCCGACGTGAAGAGATCCACGTTCGGAGTCCCGAACGTCTGGCACAGCCAACTGAAGGAGTCGGCATCGACCATCTATTCCGTGGAATGGGGAAGAAAACAAAACAGGCCGTCCGCCAGGATGTTGGACACTCCCCGGACATGAACCGCCAGGAAAGCCAAACCCCGAGAACTCAGCAGACGAGTCATCCGAAGCGACCAGCCCCAAAGAGCCAAGGACCACATTGAACCCCCACAATTCAGACAATGAACCACCGGGGAGCAGTCCGAAAGGAGCCGGATTGTAAATTCGCGAGCGACTCGAACCCTCTGGAGCGACATCCACACCGTTGTGAACTGGACCGTGCTGTGAGCCCGACGGACCCCACTGCCCCTGGTCGGCCTGGTAAGCATTGGTTACAAAACCCCAGCCAAGAGACGATGTGTCCGTGTACACATCGAGCGAGGGCTCGGGTAGGCGCCAAGGCACTGAACCCCGAAAAACCCGAAGAGGAAGCCGGCGACGCAGCAACTGACCTAAAGCCCCCGGAGGCCGAACCCAATGATCGCGAGAGAGGCGGAAGGGCCGTCCCCGAAGGAACCAGAACAGCCGATGAAGCCACACCCAACCCGGCGGGTAGACCATCATGGCAAAGTTCAGGCTCCCACACAAATTCTTGAGCAACCACCACGTGACCCGGGAACCCCCCAGAAACAGGCAAAGGCGGGACCGCAGGCGAAACAACTGGATGGGCGGGAAGAGCTTCAACAAAGCAGACAATGCCCGCACCACAGAGGGCAGCTCACCGGACCCGGCAGTGGCCCCAAGCGCCCCTACATCTAACTCAAGCTAATCCGAGGAGAGCTCAAGGAGGGAAAAGAAACGCAGGGCTGAAGCAAGCAAGCCACGAGTCCGCAAATCCTCCGCAATCAAGGCAGCCGAAAGGGAAGAAACCTGCACGTGAAGCTGCATGACACCAACATCCCGCGAAAAAGCAGGAGCGAACAAACAAGCATTAAGATGCTCGAAGTTGCCCCCCAGGAAAACCTGGAACGTCGTAGAAGTCTCTCGCCACTCAAGCGCACAGGACCGACAGAACGTGTGCCAAGCCTCTAACAAAAAGAGAGGTCAGTCTGCCAACCAGGACGACTCTGGAACTTCATAACGAAACCCATACGAACCAGAAGATCCGTACACGAAGGAACACGGATAAATCACAAAAGCATAATCCGGGTCGCGCAGAAAGTAAGCTACCAAGGCTTTCCGCACCTCCGAAGCTGCCGGAGGTTCTGGCTCGTGGTCCCAGGTAGGCAAGAACTCCATGCATTGACTGATGCCAGAAAGTTATACATATCCATTCAGCCTGGACCACCAAAACAAGGTAGATGGATACAATAACCCAAGAACAGAGAAGGGGGACATAAGGGCAGACCCCCCCCCCCCTCCCCGCCACAAAAAAGAAAAACCCGCAAGAGGATAGCTCCGGGGAGCCGACGGGGCTCCCCCAGACAGCACAAGAACAACAAAACTAGCAACTGCTTGAACAAAATGTGGTACCCAAAAGTAATAAAGTAAACAATTTGTGCGGCACTGTTTATACTCAATTTGACATCTAACACCAGCACGCAGCAACCCAGGTCACCTGGGATCTCGCAGCCTCACTGGTAAACCTGCCATCCCACAGGGAAGAAGGGAATAGAGGGAGGATACACAGCTACCGAGGACCAACAAGAAAAGAGCATTTCATTGCATTTGTAACAACTACATCAGAATGCTGTCACAGCTACATGAGCACTATGAGGAAGTACAGTACTGCTACATACTGGCTGTACTTGGCTATAGCCACTATCCATGATCAGACACTTGCTGCCATTGGCACCCCCTCACCTAACGGATGAGGATGTTGTCATGATGCCATCATAATACAACAGCCACCACTGTAATATATATATTTACCATATTGTGAGTGTACTGTTCCTTCTGTCAGGGTATCTCAAAGAGTTCAGACAACTTTGGTGTATAGTTGAATTATCTACAATGCACATTCAATACTTGATATTTGGGAGTACCTTCCTGAGGTAATCACAATGGCACCTCAATAGAAGAGGTCTACATTTCTGAAACAAAACTAATTAGTAAAAAAAAATTAAAAAGTAGCTTCATGTGCAAATACCTAAGTACAGCAAAGTTGCGGGGACATGCAATAAATAGTGCTAAGTCAACAATGTGTTGGAGCACCAAAATCCTTAAGTTCGGATATTTGGACACATTGTCAAAGAAAACCATCTGAGCAACAAATTTCCAGATGTCACAAGCAATAGTACTTCAGCACAGCTGGCTGGCTGAAGCAAACATTACAGATAACCTTCCAGCACTGGACCTTGGAATATGGGATGGAAGACACAGGGCTGCAAGACACAGGGAGGCAAGACACAGGGATGCAAGACACAGGGAGGCAAGACACAGGGAGGCAAGACACAGGGCTGCAAGACACAGGGATGCAAGACACAGGGCTGCAAGACACAGGGAGGCAAGACACAGGGAGGCAAGACACAGGGATGCAAGACACAGGGAGGCAAGACACAGGGCTGCAAGACACAGGGCTGCAAGACACAGGGAGGCAAGACACAGGGAGGCAAGACACAGGGATGCAAGACACAGGGAGGCAAGACACAGGGCTGCAAGACACAGGGAGGCAAGACACAGGGCTGCAAGACACAGGGAGGCAAGACACAGGGATACAAGACACAGGGTTCACAAACAAGATCTCAACCTGAAGAACACTCAAATAATGCCACATTGAGGCAGTAGGACAGAGCATGTGATCCATTGGCTAAACCAAGCATCAGTGATTATCAGACCTCCCTGAAAGCACAAGTCTCAGTCTTGGCCAAAATCTGCAAAAAGAGTTAAGCGTGTAAGAAAACATGCTTCCACCAAAGAACATGAATCCCTTCAAACCTAACTGCTACTTAGTTACACTTGCCCACCACCAGACAACAGTCCAATGCAACTTGAGGGCCCTCCCCATCACCAGCTGTCCCCAGCAGACATGCGCAGCCCGTAACCAACCCCCAAGAACCATTGCAAGGAGGAAAGGAATTATCAAAAGAAGGTACGAAATCTATGTAACAACATCAGTTACAGGATATTGAAAAGGAGCTAAATATCACTGAGGATAATATGAGAACAGAAGCACATAAGGTGAGCGATATTGAAGGTATCTGATTCACTAAGGATTCTATTGAGGGACATGACCTTGAGAGACATTAGGAAAGCAAGACATGAACGTCCTGAAAATCGGGACATTCTACAAGGAGGTGCACATCTGTAAGAGGGACAATGATTTTTAACAACAAGGAGGGGGCAGCATGGCATTAAGTGCCAATGAGTTAAGCGTGTATGACCAATACATGCCAAAGCTATTTCCCACCGCCAGTTATGGTGGTACAGTGGTACAGTGGTACCTCGGTTTAAGAGTTTAATCTGTTCCTGGAGACAGCTCGTATTTCGAAAACTCGTAATCCGAAGCTAATTTCCCCATAAGAAATAATGGGAAATGAATTAATCCGTTCCTGACTACCCCAAAAACCTCACTTCAAACTAAATTTTATACCTAATTCATCTAAATAAACCTACAAAACTATGTTCAAGTTATTACTTACCCTTGCTGATGAATGCTGTAGGCGTATGGAAGATGGTGAGGAAGGGGGGGAGAAGGAGAGGTGTGGTGGATATGGATGACACTATGACACTATGGATACGCTTCTTTTTCTAAATTTCTCAAACCATTCCCTGCTTGCCTTAAAGTCTATCGTATCT